ACCTGATACGCTCCACTGAATTTTGTAAGGTTCTAAAAACAATGAGAAACATAATCACTGTTCCAGAGCTGGCGAACCCTCTTTAATACAGCCGAAATTTACTCATATTAGGAAGATAATACCAACAAAAGATGCGGCATCAATAATGACGCTCTGGGAGCCACATTGAGTCCAAAGTATCTACAACGCAGGTACAACATATGTCGAAAAAACAAAAGGGGCCAGTTTGTCACACTTCGCTGACAGTTATTTGCAGTAATGTACCAGAAGCGACAGCAACTTCACTGGGAGAGAAACGAGTAGAAGACAAACACTACGCGAGAGGAACTCCTTTCGTATACTCTCATTGGTCGCGTACGTATAACATTGAACATTGTAACCGATCACGTGTATTATACACACGGTACACAATCACACACACACACGGTTAACACTTACTAGATTTCTTAATTCGCTTCATTTGTCTATTTTGTTCAATGTTATAAGTACGCGATCGATGAGAGTATACGAAAGCAATTCCTCTAGCAGTGTTTTTCTTCTGACTTGCCTATTCAAATTAATTACGGGATCCGAATGTTACAAGTAGAAGAGCTTGGTCACTGGACTGTCGAATGGCGGTGTGCTGCTATATTTTCACTCTAATCTTCGATGTGATCTCTCTTCGGCGCAGTTACCGACACACTTTGGTGTATAATGAAGTTGTTCAGAGACAGCAATTATTTGATCCTCAGACTTAGCTTACGAGGCACCGTTGCAGACCATGAGATACGCTCTCTCAATAAGGTTCACTCATGTTTTCATCATAGGAAACTTCAACTGCCCCAATTTTAGAAGACATCGAAACTATCATCACCAATTTATCACAGTTTATAGACTCACATCCTACGTATAACCATGTAGACGATCCTACCAGATTTAGAACAGGCTATCTACCATCAAGATTATACTTGGTGTTAATAAGTGGTCGAAACGGTCGAAATAACGTCTCTATTAGGACAATGCGACCGTGCAATTATGTTTTCGATTACATTTACCAAGCCTCAACGAGAGGAGGCCAGAAAAGCAGCATACGGACTCTTACTAACTACAGAAAATTGCTGAACCCTGCTGCTTTCAAAACTTTTGTGAGTTAGTTTATCGTTTTTTATGGGGCACGGGAATTCAACAGCATTCGCGCCGTTGACTGGTCGATATATCTTAACGGCTCTGACCAACGACAATCCTCATCCCTTGGGCTTCAACCTGGAAAGCGGTCTGCATCAGCCGAAGACAGAGCTGAAGCCAGCTTCTTCATACCTCTACGCCATGTCATGGTCTGACCGCCGCGGCGCTTCTTCCAGCCTTACCCGGCTCGTGTAAAGAGAGCACGGAAAGGTAGTCGATGGGCAGGCGTACGCAATACGTGGCCAAACCATCAGAGGCGGTCTAGAGCGATTCCTTCTGTGAGAGAACGACTATCCGCACTCAGCACACGACGACGGACCTCGTCATTACTCACCTGGTGTTCCCACCAGACACGTGTACTGCTTCAGAGATATTGATGGTCGAATACAGAAAGTCGATTAGCATCCTTAATGCGGAGAGACCAAATCACGCAACTGTAAAGTAGAACACTAAGAACTGCGGCAATGTACACCCTTAAGAGACAGTTGGACGTCATGACGGTGCCACGTGTGTCGCAGGTTGGCGAAAGCCACTCTAGCTTTCGTTATTCGTGATATGATCTCCTCCCCAAAACCACCACTAGCTGCGAACAAGCTCCCGAGGTACTTAAAGCTCTCAACTACTTCTGGCTGATCACCGCAGAGGGTGAGTGCAGGCACAG